GTCACAGCAGATGTTCTCAACACTGGAGGATGAGAAACTGAAGCAGCACACAGGGAGGGGAGACCGTTCTTGATGACGATGTTAGCGCTGTGACCGCGTTGTTACCGCTTCACGTTCCTGTGCGGACGCACCGGCTTTCATGTCCCTTTTCTGCCACCAGGACTGTGGAAACGACCAGCTTCGATTTACTGCTGAAGACGGATGACGACTGTTACATAGACCTGGAGGCTGTGTTTAACAGAATTGCCCACAAGAACCTGGATGGGCCTAATTTTTGGTGGGGAAAGTAAGTTGAACGTTGTTAGCGCGTTGGCATTCATGGACCTGGTCAAAAGCAACTAACCTAGAACGAAATACGCATGTCACTTTCCATAAGAAAATGGGCGAGATGGGAAATTTCCCTGTCAGGCTCCTGGGCTATTATATTTCATTAACCTACAATTACAGGGACGAAAACTTTAAAATGAAAAACCTGAGGTAACGTAATGAGGGGAGACGATGCGGCCTTCTCCGTGTGCCCCGGAGTGAGCGGCCCTGGGTTAGGATGGCTTCGTGTCGCGTTTCTGAGGCTGCTCCGTGTTTCCTCAGGAACACAGGATGGATTAGCGAACTTTGTAAAAGTAAATATACACAGGCTGATCTGGTACTTTCCATTTGCAAACTACAAAAGCAACTTTGAGAGAATTTAACATACTAGTCTTTTATATAAGTAGATATAAAGCACTAGATAAATAATTCCTTTCCATATCAAACAAAAATTCTTGTTCCTTCTTTGCTTCTAGTGTATTCCTTTGCAGTGATAATAAAGGAGTCAGGCTTATTAGTAATGCTGGAATGTGTCAGACCAACACAGAAGCAGACTTATTTTGAATGTCAGTTTCAGATTGAACTGGGCCGTTGACCGAACCGGAAAGTGGCAGGAGCTGGAGTACCCCAGCCCTGCGTACCCCGCCTTCGCATGCGGGTCGGGGTACGTGGTCTCCAAGGACATCGTCCACTGGCTGGCCAGCAACGCGGGGAGGTTGAAGACCTACCAGGTAGGGAAGGGTTTGTGACCCAACAGCAACTCCGTGAACAGTGCCTCAC